TCATGGGAGGTGTAGTTGAATTTGCTGTCATGTTTGAAGTTGTTGTCATGGGAGGTGTAGTTGAATTTGCTGTCATGTTTGAAGTTGCTGAAATGTGATAAAGTACAATACAGTTATTTAAATCGTATCAAATATCAGGGTTTTTACATTATTTTTTGGTTTAAATGAAACTGCAAGTATTCTTTAACTATTTCATGAAAAAAAACAACTTATATTTCAAAGACCATTTTAAATTGTGCTTTGTCTATCATTTCATGAACTACTGTTCTTTTTAGTTTAATTAACCATGATATTTGTTTTAAAATTCTCCTTGTTGATACCTGTTGGTGTTGCTGTAGTTGGAGCTGCAGTTGTAGGAGGTAGTGCAACTGAAAGAGAACAAAAATACATAAATTTTTCTATTATCAGTTGTGGTAATTTTTTTTTTCTGACATCTGTGTCTGCTGTGTAAATAGATTACTAAGAGAACATCCCCCCTCATTTTGAAGTAATCCTCGCCTATTTTGCGTACCCAAATGGAAAAGCAGATGACTTAGGAACTCTAAGCCCAAGTTATGTGTGTGATATATTATTTGAAAGCTAACACCTTCTAGTTTCTGAAAATATAAATGAAAAGTGAGTAAAAAACAACCCAAGCTGCATCACTTCAAACATGACCCAAAGTTGTTGTTTTTTTATTCTTGAAAATAATAGGTCTTTTTGAACAGCAGTAATAAAGACATACTTGAGAATAGGCATGTGGCATTGTATTGAGTTTGTTCTACATCATGTCAACAAAAAATGCAAAAAATCTCAGACCTCTAGCTGGAATAGTTCCAGAGCTTTGGGGCTTTGAACTTTTGGTGTCACCAGTGTCTCCAAATCGCTCCAAATGGGCCAAATCCTTTTACTCAGCTATTTGAACCATAGAATAACACTGAAGTATTTTGATGGCAACTAAACATTTATGAAGCAAGTATTTTCCACTTTTTTAAGAATCAGTGTATATTAAAAAAATGTAACATTTATACACCTACAATAACATAGAAATCTAAAAAAATTGTGAAACTGCTGCTTTTCAAGCTAAGATAAGCCCCAGTGCCTTTTCTGAGCTGTTTATTTTTCTTTTCAGCCTTAGACATTAGATAAAAAAAATAAGCATTCAAAATAGGACCTTTGTTATTATTCAGCTTCGAGCTGGGTGCATTGATCCACTCTCAGCTGTGTGTTTCACTCTTACGTAAGCCGGTAACACGGCTCGTCTTTATGCAACCCAGCCATGTCTAGCCTTGTGTGAAACCTTATTTCATTGGCTACAAAGCCAATTTTATTACAAAAATGCTGGATTACTTTTAATCTGTGGACCCTTATGTACGAATGGAGTATAAACAATTGAAGATTGGATTTATAAAACGGCTCCTGGACGCCTTCAAATGTATATTGTTGTGGCTGCTTTGTCATGTTTACATTTTGACATGCTGCTTTATCTGTGTTAATTGTGCTTTGGTGCTTATTATGTCCATAAAATGAACTGGGAGGTTGAATTGTGGAGAATCTAAGCTTTCCAACGATGTCTAACATGTCTAAATTGGTAAATATTTTACTGGTGTAATTTTCCTGCATTTTTAGTTGTTAGTTTTAAACGTTTTGAGAAGGGTCGCCGGCGATCTGGTGGGTTTGGAGAGGTTAAGCATTATTAAAAGAGATACTGATCTTGGCCTGGAAGAACCAGCTGCTACCTTAATCTTCAGAGTTCTACAGCTGAGTTAATAGAAGAGTGAGGAAGTATGACTTAAAACCTCCCAACTAAGTTTTAAACAAGTTTCTTCCAGAAT